AGACACCCCGGGAACAGGCGGGGCCCCAGCTGGCTGGGCACGGTGGACAGGGAGAGCCACGCGCCACGGCTAGGGCCTCCAGACCGAGGGGCCGTGCAGAGTCCTCCACAGTCAGAGGCTGCCCACGCCCTGCAGTGTCCACTTGCCGGCCAGAGCCCCCCACCCCACGTCTGTCTCTTTTATGAAACCAGGGCCCGAGGACACACGATTGCGCCTAAGTCCCAGGCTTCCCTCCCGGGCCCTGAGCCAACAGGACCACCGGGGCCACCTGATGGCAAGGACGGGGGACAGGGGCCACCTTCCCAGCCCAGAGTCCAGGCCACAGAGGGTTCACGTGCAGCAACCAGCCCACAGGCAGGCAAGCCCAGCCTCCACGCCGTGGCCCGTTACGATACAGCCTGGAACGTCAGAGGCTGCTTCCCCACGAGTAAGAAGGGGGCAGGGGGCAGGAGTGGGGTCTCCTGGGGGTAGCTGGGGGCTGCGCAGACGCCACGAGAGAGTGGGGGGAAGGGGTGGGGGAGGGCAGCCGCCAGCCTCACCTACGCAGGCGTCGTCCTCCCACACCCAGCCCACTTCGCACTGGCCGCAGTCTCTGTTGGTAGGGCCCGTGCACGTCTTGCAGGACTCGTCACAGGCTGGAAGGCAGAGGTGGGACAGCCGTCAGTAGGTGGGGATCCCGTCTCAGGAGTGAACTCGATGCAAAGGGCGTTTCGGAAATTAGGAGCTGACATTCATAGGGTGAAAACAAAAACCGCAAACCAGCAAAAAATCCCAGCGGAGCAAGATACGTTCAACGACAGAGAAACTCGTGTGATTCACAACATCCCTGAACTTAAGGAGAGAAGAGAACACACGGGGATTTCCACGCCCAGGGGTGATAAAATTCTCAGCAAACGAGGACTCCAGAGGAATTGCTCGTAACCTGGCAGAGGTAGCCTCCCAAATGCTGGAGCCCACACCCAGCTGGGTGTGTGCATGCCGCCCGCCAACACGCGTGGACGTTCTGGGCCCGGGAAAGGCCTGGGGGTAGGAATCGGAGGGGCTGGCCTCCCAGGCACCCAGCACATTCTCCACGGGGATGCCCAAGGGAGCGCAGCCTCACCGCCAGCCCCGACGGGAGAATTCAACACGCCTGCTGACGCCCAAAAGGTCTTCCTGTACATCAGTGACAACCAACAAGAAAACACTTCGAGACGGTGCGCCTCGTGGCTTCCTCCCCGGACTTACACATCTACACCCCGTCAGAGGACGCCATCCTGGGCTGACGCAGCCTCACGAGCAGGGCGTGGGTCTCCCCAACCAGAAGGGAGAAGTGTGCCCATCACAGCCGAGAAGGCTCCATCCGTGCAACCCCACGGCCCATCTCAGAACTCACGGGGGCGCCCAGAACGACAGCCAGGGCACCTCTGAAGACCCAGGTGGGAGAGCCCACCTTACCCAACACCAGGGTGACCAAGACGGTGCGTCCTCTACACGGGGACCTGGGGCCAGGAGGTCACACTGCGTGGCCTCCGCTGTCCCGGTTCTCACCTGGGCCACCTCCCCACCCTGCTGGTGCCCTGACGTGGCCAGGCTCGGCCCTGCCTCTGCTCACTCCGAGACCCTAAGCCTGAGTGACAGCGGGGACACCAGCCTCTGATCCCCAAGTTGCGCCCAAGGACACCCGAGCCTCCTGCTGGGACAGCCGCGAGGAGAGCAAAGCTCGGGCCAGACACTCCAGGTGCAGGTCCGGGGCCCCGGGACCGGCGTGGACGTCACAGAGCTGGAGGTGCCACACTGTCCACCCTCTGAGCCCTTCTCCAGAAGGACATCGCGGGTAAGCAACTCACACGTCCCTCTCGGGGCTTGTTTGGGGACAGGAAGTGAGACCATCCCCGGCTGCTGGCCCTGTCATGGCCCTTCTTACGTCGCACAAGGGCCCACGCCTTGCCCCTCAGCTCCCAGAAGCCTGGGTCAGCGGTCACCGGGCCCGCCTCCCATCTACACAGGCAGCTCCGGGTACCTGAGCAGAGGCTGTGCGTCTCGTTCCTCAGTGAGTTGAAGTAGCCGTCCACGCAGTCGGCACACAGCGGTCCCCGGTACCCCAGGTGGCACTGGCACGACCCGTCGCCCTGTCTGCTGCCGTCTCCGCTGCAGTGGCCGTTCCCGCTGCAGGGCCGCTCGGACCCACCCTGGCATGCTGCGGGGACCCCGAGCCCGCTCAGAGCGCACCCCGCGACACATTCATAAAAACAGCTCTCTGCGTCTCGCTGAAACCCCAGCCCTGCTTCACCCCTTCTGTCTGGGAGCATAGGAGCCCCACACTGGCGAGGTGTCTGGAGGAGGCATCGGCTTGCCTCACGCGGGACACGGGGCCAAGGACGGGACAGTGAGGGCCCGCGCTGTGACGCCACACCGGCGGGACAGGCAGGGGCAGCCTCGGCCAGGGTGGGGCCTGAGCGCCAGCATCGTGCCCCTTGCCCAGTTGATCCACGTGAACATTCTGGTGACGCCTGGGCGGCAGCCATGGCTTCACTCAGTCTCTTCACCCCCGGAGGCTGGACGCCCCTGGCCCCGGCCTCTCACACAGGCTTCGCTGCTTATGGACCGCCTCCCCGCACCCAGAGGGCGGCACCCAGGTGGGCGACCAGGGGGTCTGTGGAGCCCTGAATTAGGAGCATACTTGGGACCAGATACCCAGAGGCGAAGATCGCTGCAGCTGGGAGGAGGCTGCACAGGGCCCACGTTCCCACCCGAGCTCCTGCCCAGCCGGGAATCACGACAGGGCTAACCGGAAACACACAGGACGCTCACGAGTCCCCGCAGAAAACTCACCCAGGCAGTCTGGCCCGTAAGTTCCTGGAGCACAACAAACTTTCAGTGTTTTCACACAAAACCATTCAAATAAGTCAGGATACTTCTTCTTCCTGAGGATTTTAAAGTGTTCAATAAATCTCACGCGGCAGATTTCCTCAAAACAAACACACAGTTGAACATGTAACGTGCTTCTGAGTATCATGGGATCTGGGAGACGAGGGTCTGGGTGCCAAAAGACTCTTCCAGCTGACACCCTCGTCTGGATGGTCGCGCTTTGGTGATAAAGGATGGGAACACGGGTACGGAAGAAAACAGGTGTGTGAAAACCCCTACTATTTTTGTAGCTTTTTAAACCTGACATCATTTCAAAAGCCAGGAGTCGCTGGCACTGGTCCCCGGGGACGCAGGCACTCACAGCCATAGCCACCAGGTCTCCAGGAGCCCCTCGTGCTCCTCCAGCAGCTGGTTGCACTCGAAGTCGCTGGTCCCACACAGGCCCTCCATGATCTCCAGCAGGCGGACCTCACTGAAACACAAGGCCGTCAGCACGGCGAGGCCGGGGCAAGGGGCACCTCAGTGGTCAGCGTCCATTCCCCAGGGATGTCCCGAGGCCCCACCTGCGGCCAGGCCACGACTACAGTGGCACTTCAGTGAAAAAAGACCCTCAGCAAACACCCAACTGGGGCCGGGGGTAGTCAGTGCCAGGCAGAGAACTAAACATGGAGTGTGGGGCTGGTCAGGGAGGCCTGTCCGTGCTCACGGTGGGACTTCGGGTGTGGGGTGTGCCAGGGGAAGCCCTGCAATGGGGCCGGAGGAGGCCGGAGCTCGGGGGGGGGGGGGGGGGGGGGGGTTTTACCCCCCCTATTTTTTTAGGAACCCCCGGGGGTGGCGGGGGGGGGGGGGGGGGGGGCAGGAGGGATTTACCCCACCTATGTTTTTAAGAAACCACCGTGTCTGCCGAGTGGAGGGCGAGTGGGACAAGTGTGCGAGCCAAAAGGCCAGCCAGGAGCCAGTGTGCCAGCCCCAGGCAAGGACAGGTGACAAGCCCCAAGAGACGCTCTGTGTCTGTCAACGCTCCCAGGAACACGTCAGGCACCAAAGGCAGGCGCTGGGCCAGTAAGAGCAGGGCGCCCACCTGAATTCATACTTGGACAGCGTCTTTTCCTCCCAAGCCGTGTTTCCACCACCAAAGTTCTTCTTTGCTGTGTCCACCATTCCCTGCGGGGAGACGGCCGCACAGAGCTCAGCACTGCTGCCTCACCCCGTCCATGGTGAGGTGACTGGTCTATGGTGGGGTGACCACAGTTCATGGTGGGGTGACCCAGTTCATGGTGGAATGACCCCAGATCCATGGTGGGATGGCCCAGTCCATGGTGGGGCAACCCTGGGTCCCTGGTGTGGTGACCACAGTTCACGGAGGGGGTAACCCCAGTAGATGGCGGGACAACCCTAGTCCATGGGGGGGTGACCCTGGTCCATGGCGGGGCGACTGCGGCCAGACCCCTGGCCTCGTGTCCCCGCGGGGTGATCGGCCCACCTGGTTGAACTTGTCCACCAGCTCCCGGCATCGCTTGCAGGGCGTCGGCTTCTTGGTGGCCTCGCCGGGCGACAGCAGCGTCAGAAGCAGCAGCCCCAGCACGGCCGGGGCCGGCGGGCGCATGGCTGGCCGACGTGGACAGCGCTGCGGAACGCGGCCGCACGGGCACTGGCCGAGGTCCAGCGGGAACCGGCCGAGCACTCCGGCCTCCGGCCGCCCACCGGCTCCGAAGCGCCGGCCGTTCCCGGGGGCTACTTGACGGCGCCGGCCGGGGCCCCGCCCCGCGCCAGCCCTTCCATCGCTATTGGTCGGCTGGGCCCACCCCGTCCCCATGTGGCCCAATCCGGGCTCGCCACGAGAGGCGACCAATAGGAAGGCCCCGGGTCAGCGTCCCGCCGGGAGGGTTGGGCACAGGGGGCGTGGAGATCCGAGCCCGCCCCTCGCGCCGGCCTCTCCCCTGCACCGCCCGCGGCGGCCATCTTTACTCCGGTCAGAGAGGGCGCCCGCCGCGACGGCAGCCGGGGTTTAGTGGCCATGTTAGGTTCGGGCAAGGGCGTCGCCTCTATTCTCGGTTTCCGCCACCCGACTTCCGGCTGAGGGCAGCCCAGGCGGACGCGTTTCGAGGGACCGCGCCGTGGGCTGGCGAGGTCAGCGTGCGCGGCTGGGGCTCTTGGGACGGGATGCGGGGACCCCGGGCCGGCGCTCTCGCGGTGCTCCTTGGGCCTCACCGTGCGTGGCCACGCGGGACGACCGTTGGGCTCCTCACCTGGGGGCAGTCTCCTCACCTAGGGTTGGGGCTCCTTGCCCGGGGCCTGATGAGTGTGTTTCTGGGGTTCCAGACATCTGCATTTCCCCACGTGCCCGAGGCAGTTGGCACTGGAACCCGTGGTTTAAGTTAGGAGGAACGGAGGTGGGCATTACCTGGTTTCTAGTAGGACAGAACTGCCAGAAGGAAGCAGCACAAATGATAGAGTTTTCTCTGGCCGAATTTGTACCAGTTCCTTTGTGTTTCCAGCCAGGGATTAATAACGTGAACATCTGACTTGACCAGTTTCAGTAGAGACCTTAGAATCCGAATAGACGGGGACAAGAAGCCCTTTGCACCTAATCTGAGGGGTCACCATCCTATAAACTACGTGTTTTAAAGTCGTGGCCTGTCTTGGCCTGTGGGTGCCTCAGATTAACAACCCGAACAGCTGCAAGCAGGTGTGGACCAGTGCACATGCGTCTGCTCACCGTCTCGGGCCCGGTGGGGGTTGACCATGGTTTCTGTACTTGCTTATGTCCTGTTTGTTTCCTCGTGGTCCCGGGTGGGCATGCAGGGTGCCGCTAGCGCCTTCCAACATAAGCTGCTTTGCCGGTTGGTTTCTGCCGTTGGTCATCGGCACAGGGCACACTCTCATCTGGGTGAGAAGCTCCTGGGGCCCGGAGCGGGGTTTGGCAGGTACCTTTTCACCCCACAGCTCGTGAAATAACAGAGTCTAGATCTTCCCGCAGGGGAACCTCCTCCGGGCAGAGGTGTGGAGTGGGGTGTGCAGGGACTGGCCTGGGACAGCTGTGAGCCCGAGCGAGGTTCCTGCCACGGAGCACCTGCGCAGCTGCTCCAACCGCCTGGCCTTAGAGATGCTTCCTAGTTCTTTAGACTCTTTTTCCCCTCGAACAGTAAGAGAACAGAGAGTAGTATATGAACGTTCCGTGGTCTCTTCGGCTTCACTGGAAATTAAAGCGTGAACGTTTCTTTAATGAAAATGTAAACTGGTGTGATGAGATCCACGCTTAGTTTTTATGAATTTCTTCTTCAAGTAGTTTATTGAGCACCTGCTATGCGCCAGGCTGTGCTGATACAGCAGTGAGTCAGCCCTGCCCTCAGGCTGTGAGCCCAGTAGGGGAGACAGATGGCCCCTGTGATGACCAGAGTCCATCCTTGCTGAGGTTACAGTGGGCAGCGGGGGACAGAAAAATCCCGCCCTTACATTTGGTAAGAGAAAAGTTCTGTTTCTTCCCTGGGAACTGCACGTTATTTTGGTAATTCTTAATTCTTAGAGCCCTTTGACCCCCCTTACTTCCCTCACCTCACCACCATATCAGACAGGATTCCTGTTCCCCCAGTTGTTGATTCCCCACTTGCTATCTTAGGAGAGTACAGACTTCATACCTCTCCCTCGAACCAAAAAGTAGTTTTAACAAATAGTAAGCACCGTGGTTCTCTCCTTTCACTTCTTGCCCTTCTGGTTTTGATCAAATAAAAGCAAACCTGTTTTCAGACAAGCCAGAAACAGGAAGAGTTTGCCATCTTCCTTCCCTCGCCAGATTGAAAGATGGAGGTCTTCCATGAGTAGGAACTGCCCCAGACACTTCCATGGTTTTCTCAGGAAGCTTCGTGGCATGGGGTGCCCCCCAAAGTGCCGTTGGTGTTTGGGTGGTCCATTGCAGGCACATCTGTCTGCATCCCCACCCTCCCAGGAACACACTCTTGCTTTCTGCCATATCCACGAGTTTGTGCTCATGCCCAGCGTGGTGCTCCCCGGGGCTCTAAGAGGCTCAGGGGGTGAAGTTCAGAACACAGCAGGTGGGTGTCCGCGGCCGTCTCACCATCCTTGGGGTGCAGGGCTTTGCTGGCGCCCCGAGCCCTGCGCCTCACCTCCTGTCCTCTCGTGGCTGTCCCTCTGCAGTTCTCCAGGCGCACCCCTCCCGCCCTTCTACTTCACAGCCTCCCGGCCCGTCTCCCTCGGCCAGTACCGTGCGGGCCGAGCCCAGCTTGTTCCTAACTCTCCGGCCAGATTTCAGCTTCTCGAGCACGGGGGTCGTCCTGCTGCCCTCCAGCGCCGGGCTGGCCCAGGGCCCGGCTGCACAGTGGACTAAACTCGGGTCCTGCAACTCAGGTCTTTCTTCCTGGAAAAGTATTCACACAACTTAAAGCGTAAGAAGGCTGGTTAAAGTACGAAAGCTTCTCTAGCGTGATTTTTCTTTCAGCGTTCTATTTTGATGTGTTTTCAGATTACAGAAGCTGCAGCAGTTCAAAGGATTCCCATTCCCTTCAAACACATTTCCCAGGTGTTAACTCGAGTGTGAGTTTTGAAGCTTGGGGACCTGCGACTCTATTCTCTCAAAACGATTCGAGTGGCGGTGCCGACGGTGGATGAAGGTCCGTGAGGCTGACGTGCAGAATGGCCGGGAAGAGGCCGTCGGGCCTGGGCAAGCAGCGCCGGCTCCTGGGGCTGCTGGTGGTGGTAGCCGCCGTCCACCTGGTTGCCTGCCCCTACACCAAAGTGGAGGAGAGCTTCAACCTGCAGGCCGTGCACGACCTGCTCTACCACCGGCTGGATGTGGAGAAGGTGAGTTCCCGCCCAAGCCGTGCATCGACCCCCGCTTCCTGGGGCCTCTGCTGACCTGCCCTTCTCCCCGCAGTTTGACCATCTCGAGTTCCCTGGCGTGGTCCCCAGGACGTTCCTCGGGCCGCTGGTGATCGCGGCACTCTCCAGCCCCGCCGTTTACGTGCTTTCGCTCTTGGAAACGTCCAAGTTCTATTCTCAGCTAGTAGGTAAGGGGGTCTTCAAACGGGGATGGGGTGGAGAACTGCAGTGTTGTCAGAGGGTCTCAGTCACCCAGGTTGAGGGTCCCTCGTGCAGGAGGGTCCACCTGTTGGAATCTCGGCCACTCGGCAGAGGGACTCAGAGTGGGGACAGCGTCAGCCCCGCCGGGCTGTGCCCTCGTGACTGCAGTGGGGGCTGAGCCCCGTCCCCCGAGCAGAAGCAGCACGTTTCCCAGCTGAGTCAAACACATCTCACGGCTGGTTGGTCCGGCCTGTGTGGAGAGCTTTAAGAATTGCACATTCCTGGGGAAGAAGCAGTTCTGCTTCTTGAAAGATGAAGAAACGGAAATCCACCCTCGCTCTAGGCTGTTGTGGTCACATGGTGGGGGCCAGGAAGCCTTGGACGGGAGAGTCGGGGGCCACGTCTGAGCATCAGGTCCTTGGTAAACGTGGCCCTGGAGGTATCGGCCAGGGGGCGGGGCCACTGGGGTCGGTGCCGGGCTGTCGTCCTGATGCTCCTGGCCTGCCCAGCGGCTGACTGCCGCAGGCCCCCGCCTTGGGATCCGGGGGCCAGGGTCTAGGCTGTCTGTCTTCCACGGCCAGCCCATTTTTTGGACAGTTTCAAAAGTTTAATAAACGATGTGACAGGACACGAAATGTGGCCCACCACACTCAAAATTAAAAGAATTCAGTTAATAGTGAGTGAAACACAAAATGAACAAATTCACCTAATGCTAGTTTCAGTGAAAAATACACTGTCACTTTAACATATTTTAGTTTCATTCGTTTTACGTGTCTATTTTTTTTAATTGAAGTGTAGTTGGTTCACAATATGGCATTGTATCAGATGTACAGCAAAGTGATTCCGTTATGTGTATATTTTTCAGGTTCTTTTCATTATAGGTTATTATAAGATACTGAATATAGTTCCGTGTGTTATACAGTGTATCTTTGTTAATTATCTGTTTTATATCCAGTAGCGTGTATCTGTTGATCCCAAACTCCTAATTTATCCCTCTCCTCCTTCCTCTTTGGTAACCATACGTTTATTCTCTGTGTCTGTGAGTCTGTTTCTGTTGTGTATATAGATTCATTTGTGTCACGTTTTAGATTCCACACGTAAGTGAGTCCATGTGGTATTTGTCCTCCTCTGTGCGACTGACTTCACTTAGTTTGATCACCTCTGGGTTCCTCCGCGTTGCTGCAGTGGCATGGTTTCCTCCGCTATGGCTGAGTACTATTCTGCTGTGTACGCCCAGCCCGTTTTTAGTACCGAAGGCAGCTCCCCTCCCTCAGGGCCATTTCGAGACCCGGTGGTCGCTGAGGGCCCCGCCTCGCCGCTGTCGCACACACGGCGCCCTCTCTGTTCAGTCAGGGCCGTCCTTGGACTCGGCGTGATCTTTGGACTCTGGACTTTACAAAAAGAAGTGAGGCGGCAGTTTGGGGCCACGGTGGCCACCCTGTTCTGCTGCGTGACGGCCTCGCAGTTCCACCTGATGTTCTACTGCACGCGGACACTCCCCAACGTGCTGGCCCTGCCTGTGGGTATGTAGCCACCCGGCCGGCCTGCCCGGGGGGTCCCTCCGAGGTGTCTGCCCGTCGAAAGCTGCTCCCCACCAGGCGTCTCAGAAACCCTGCGAGGGGAGCAGGGCCCTGTCCTCGGTGCTGGACTGAGGCCCGGCTGCCAGGGTTCGGCTTCTCTTGAGCAGGGCCGGAGCTGGAGCTGGTCCGCGGAGCTGGGAGGAGGGCAAGCCGCGTGCGGGGCCGGTGCGGACGCTCCGGGAGCCTCGGGAGGCCGAGTGCGGGGAGCAGGGACCTTGGAGGGACCGGGCGGGAGAGGCAGCCGGCAGGAGAGGGGAGGAGGCGGCCGAGGTTGGCGCTGGCCGTGCGAGCGCGAGGCTGAGGAGGAGGCGGGAAGCGGCATGGACGCCGGCGTCTGGGGCCGTCTGGGGCCGTCTGGCCTGCGGAAGTGCCTCGGGCTATGTCACAGCACAGGACACGGGCCGGGCGGGGGGGCTGTCACGGTGCAGCCTCGGGCCCGCGTTGGCGGGTCTGGTTCTGAGAGGTGCTAGCTGTCTTCTGGAGGGTTCTGTGTGGCTTTCCCGAGGGAGGAGTAAGCGGCCTGCCTCTTGGCCTGTGCCTTACAGTCCTGCTAGCCCTCGCAGCCTGGCTGCAGCAGAGGTGGACGCGCTTCGTCCGGCTCTCGGCCTTCGCCATCCTGGTCCTCAGAGCCGAGCTGAGCCTGCTCCTGGGCCTGGCGCTGCTGCTGCCGCTCTGCCTGCGGAAGGTCTCGGTGGCCCGGGCCCTGCGCTGCGCTGTGCCGGCTGGGATCCTCTGCTTAGGTGAGTCGGGTCACCGCGGCCACGCTGTCGGGGGCCTGTGCTTTCTTTGTCTTGTTTTATGGAGACAAAACTTGGGAGGTTTTCTTATTTTTGTTTTTCCTTAAATGAAATTACCTTCACCTTCAGTGGTGGTAAAATGTCTCGGTGCAGGTCCCTGGCTGCTCTGCCCAAGGGTCCCCCACCCCCTGCTGCCCGGGGCCTCCATCAGGGGCTCTTCTCCTTGTGTGTCTCAGCCAGGCCACGCAGCCACGAGGGACCTGCGTGAAGAGGCTCGTTCGGGGGTAGGTCCCGACGCCTCAGCTCCTTTACGTGAAGCTGCTGGTGGCTCCTGGTTTCTGTGCTGACGGGGCTGCGTCTCGGGAACATCCACCTGTGACCAGGACTCCGCAGCTGCCGTTCAGCCAGCTGCGTCGAGATCCGAGCTTCCCAGGTGGCCGTGTTCTTTCCTGAGGTCTTCTTTTCTTAGGGCTGACGGTGGCCGTGGACTCCTATTTTTGGCGCTACCTCGTATGGCCAGAAGGAAAGGTGCTCTGGTACAACACCGTCCTGAACAAAAGTTCCAACTGGGGCGTATCCTTCCGGTGTCCGCACAGTGGCCCACAGGGCGGGGCTGTGCCGTGAGCCCCTCTCCTCCTGTGTGCGCACCTGATGGAGCACGGCGGCTGCTGCAGCGCCAGCACTGGCGCCTTCTTCCCCGCAGTCTGGGCCCCCCCTGGTCCAGTGGCCGCCACCCGTTGTCTGTAGCCGAGGTGTCTCCGTCGTCCTCGTGGTGATCTGCTTTTCTTTCACGTTTATTCTGGAGTAGTTGAGCGCACGCAGATAGAATGCTGAGTCCCGAGCGGGCCCATCACTCTGGGACAATCTGCTTTTACGGTGAAAGATGGAGGGAAAGTTAAAGGACTCTGCACGGCCCCACTCGCCATCCGCGGCCAGGCTCTGGCACCGACACCCGAGTCCCAGCCTCTGTCCGCGTGTTGAAGCGGTCACGCCGTGGCCCGAGGCGCGGGGGTCCCGGGTGTTGCAGGCAGGGGCGCCATCAGGGCTGCATCTCCCGCACGCTCCTGGCTCCCGCCTGAGCTCGGCCCGGGGACTGACAGCTGTAGCTGGCGCGTGGCCTCCTTAACCCTCCTGCGGCAGACCTCGCCGCTGCTCTGGTACTTCTACTCGGCCCTGCCACGCGGCCTGGGCTGCAGCCTGCTCTTCGTGCCCCTGGGCGCCGTGGACAGAAGGGCCCTGGCACTGCTCCTGCCGGCGCTGGGCTTCGTGGCTCTGTACTCGCTTCTCCCGCACAAGGAGCTGCGCTTCATCATCTATGCCTTCCCCATGCTCAATATCGTGGCCGCCAGGGGCTGCGCCCGTGTGTGAGTGCCACCACCGAGACGCTGCTGCCTGGGCTTCCCTGGGGGCGGTTTACCGGTTCACAAAGGGGGAGATGCTTAGGGTAAACCAATGTGTTTAACTGGGTGCCTGGCCAGGCTTTGGTCAAGGGTCCAGCCCGAGTCTACGGAGCCCGCAACTGGCCTGTAAAGGACAGATGCCGAGTGCCTCGCTCCGTGGGCTCCGCGGTCCTGCCTGTGCACTGTGACAGCGGCCTCATCCTGTCCGCTTCACCTACACGCAGGCAGCGCGGTATTTGGCCCGGAGGCTACGCTCTGACCCAAGTAATGACGTGGGATGCTTGAAAATGTAATCTAAGTTTTAAAATGGCATCTGGGTGGAATTTCAGAGAGACAGTGTCACGTCTGTCGCTTGGTGATGACTCTCGCTCAGCGACAGCGGGCGGCGGGCTTCTGCTCCTAACCGGTTTCTGCTCTGCTGCTGCCGCTGCCTTTCCGCAAGGTGCACTGCTCTTTACAGGCTGAGTAACTATAAGAAGTCCTGGCTGTGTAAGGTGGGGTCCCTCCTCGTGATAGGACACCTCGTGGTGAACGCCACATACTCGGCCACAGGCCTGTACGTGTCCCACTTCAACTACCCTGGCGGCGTGGCGATGCAGAGGCTGCACGAGCTGGTGCCCTCCCGCACAGGTAGGCGCTCGGCCCCCCGCTACCGGCTGCGGCTCTGGCCAGAGGTGCCGGATTCGCAGCGCTAACCGAGCAGACGCGGTTTCCACAGATGTCGTTGTGCACATCGATGTGGCCGCTGCCCAGACAGGTGTGTCCCGGTTTTTGGAAGTCAACAGTGCCTGGAGGTACGTCCTCGTCTCGTGCACGGGCACCCGGGGCCGCCACGGACCCCGCAGTGCACAGCCTTGCTCTCGTTTGCAGGTACGAGAAGAGAGAGGACGTGCAGCCCGGCTCCGAGCGCATGCTGGCCTACACGCACCTCCTCGTGGAGGCCGCCCCCGCGCAGCTGGCCCCGTACCGGGACACGCACCGGGTGCTGGCCAGCGTCCCAGGCATGACCGGGCTGAGCCTCAACCTGAGCAGGCTGCCCCCCTTTGACGTGAACCTGCAGACCAAGCTGGTGCTTCTGGAGAGGCTTCTCGGGCCTTCCTGAGGAGGAGCCATAGGCCCTCCAGAAACATCGGCAGGACGAGACGGGAAACGCGCAGAGGACCACGGGTGTGCCCTCACGGGGGCGCGTCCACAGCCACAGCCGGGGCACCCACGTCCACGCTGCCCACCGCTTGTGAGAACGAGGGGCCTGGCACCCCTGCCAGGGTGACGGTGGGTGGGATGCTGTTTACCGTCCAGACCGCAGCGGGATGTGGATCTTGCCCGCGGAGCTGCTTCTGGGCAGCAGGCTGTGGCCTCTCGGCCCCTGAAAAGTCGTCCCCCTGGGGCAGCGTTACCGCAGAAACTCAGCACCCAGCCCTCGGGGCGGGGCCTCCTCTGTGGTCTCAGCCGTTTCCATTTCAGATGAGGCTTTAGGAGATAAACTCGTTCAAAAAGAGTGAGAGTCAAATTGTAAATGTCGTCTTATTGTTGATCTCCGGTGATGCTTCCAGAGACTGCTTCCACCTGGGTTTTGTTTAAGTGATTTGGGCACTTTCCCACTTTGCTGAACAGTGTTTACTGAGTTCCTGACACGTGTCTGACTTCACCAGGCACTGAAGACGATGCAGGGAACTGAGTGTGCTTTGCCCGCATGCACACACACCGTGCACACGCACGCACACGCTACACACGTGTGCGTGGACACAGGCAGTCTTTCCTGAGCCATTCCAGAGGGAGTTGCGTGCACCTGGCCTCTGGCCTGAGTGCCTCGGAAGGAGGTGGCGCTTCCTGACCTTCAGTTACTGTTTTTTCCACCGAAGCTGACAAGCAGTCTGTGCGGGCCCCTCCCCAAACCTCCCCGACACAGCACCCACTGGTGATTCCTGCTGCGGCCGCCCGCCACTCAGCAGGCTCCCACCTTCCCCCGTTGCCTGTTTCTCGTGAGCGTTTGTTACTTACCTGTCATCGGCAGTTCTCAGTGTTTAGATGTGGCCCCCAGTCGTCAGCCTGCACGCATGGACTGCTGCCGGATCCCGATGGGCCGTGAGCTGCCCTGTCGGTTGCCTTGGTGTTCAAACTGCAGATACCCCTGGGGGGGCCTGTCAAGCCGTGCTGTCCCGGCTGCGTGCCGCGTCATTAAGGTTTTGAGCACGTCCCTGCCTCCTGGCACAAGGAGTCCCGCCCAGGCTCCTCGGGCCTCTCTGTCTCCACCCTGGAGTCGGCCGTTTGGAGGGCCCGGGCTCCTTCTGGCAGGGACTGGTTTCAGAGACCAGTATCTGGGTGCACAGTGCGCTCACTGCTATCAGGATGCCCGTGTTTCTAGGCCCTTTCTTCGGAGACAGAGGACAGGCGCGCCTGCACGTGGGCACACGCTTACGCACGTGCACAGGCATGAGAGGTCACAGCACCATGCTGACACCTCCAGTTCCACCCCATCTCTGTGGGCGTCTGTTTGCCTCCCTCGTTCCACGTCTGCATGTCCTGTCCCTGCAGTGAGAATCCTGACCCCGACAACATCAACGTACGTTTGACCCGTGTCAAGGGACACCGACCCCCACGCAGTTGGAAATCTGCATATAACCTTTGACCCGCCCCCCCGCCAAGGCTTAATTACTAATAGCTCCTGTTGAGTGGAAGATTTACCCATAACATGAACGGTCGATGACACATATCTATATGTTACATGTCAGATGCTGTATTCTTTCAATTATGTAAGCTACAGAAAAGAAAATATTAAGAAAATCATAGGGGGACCTCCCTGGTGGTCCAGTGGTTAAGACTTTGCCTTCCAGTGCAGGGGGTGCGGGTTCGATCCCTGGTCGGGGAGCTGAGATCCCACATGCCTCGCAGCCAAAAAACCAAAAACATAAAACAAGCAATATTATAACAAATTCAGTAAAAAAAAGAAATCATAGGGAATTCCCTGGCGGTCCAGTGGTTAGGACTCTGTGCTTCCACTGCTGGGGGCCTGGGTTTGATCCCCGATCGGGTAACTAAGGTCCTGCAAGCTGCGCGGTGGGCCAAAAAAAAAAAAGGAAAGAAAATCATAAAAAAGAGAAAATATTTATAGTACTGTACTGTATTTATCAACAGCATGAGTTTTCGTCATCTGTTTCCAAGATGAATAGTCAGTACCTACATCATTATTGTCTTAGACGATACGAAAGGCTGTAGATGTTACACATATAACTAATACTAGACATCAATAATGAAAAGGTAATGTGAAAAAGAAGTTCACATTTATTTACAGGTACAATGATATGTGCATTGATAATGAAGCAGCAGCAACATGGCTGCTTTATGGTTGCCTAGTGTGATCGATACGATCACTCCCGGGTAGCCCGGCCTATACACTAATGGATGGGTCGTCATAAAATTTTTATGACATATAGTATTGCAGTCATATTCATAATACAGTATTGGGAACACTGTTACATTAAAAAAAAACCTATGATGATAGACTGTTACACAGTTTCTCCAATTACGAGTCAGGGAGGGAGGGAGACTGTACCTAATTCTTTGAAAGCAAAGTTATAAAACCCACATTGTTAATTTTATACTTAGTACCACTCAGCTTATGCCTATGTGAGGATGGACTGTCCACTTCAGTATGTGTCGTATGCGGTGTACAGCTGTTAGATTTTCACATCGAGGCACACAGCAGAGAGGTCTCATCCACAGCGTGATGACTGTTCACTGTGCGTTAGGCGGAGGTGGGTCGTCACAGGTCTTCATCCCCCTGGTCCTCACGCTGAGGCTGGGGAGGAGGAAGCGGAGGGGAGGTCTTGCTGTCTCGGGCGGCAGAGCCGTGCGGGGTGGAAGCAGGGGAGGCCGGTGCACTCGGTGAACTTGGCAGAACTGCCGACTTTTTTGCTTTCTCATTTCTCTAGAGTGTTTCTGTCTACTACCAATCCTTCCACCGTTTGCTTTAGCTTCAGTACCCGTATCACGGAAGGGTCCATATTGTAAAACAAGTCAAAAGTCGTCTTGACTCATTGGAACTATTCTGCCAGGCAGTCTGATGTCAGTTTGTTTCCTGGCGCTGCTGCTTCTGCGCCTGTCTCATCGTCTGCCTCTGGCTCAGAAGCCCTCATCTATCTCCATCAGGTCGTCTTCTGTGGGTTCCTCCGGTGTGCTGCCTAGTAGCCCTTGAATTTTTTTTTTTTTTTTAGACTGTGCCACGTGGCTTGTGGAATCTTAGCTCCCCAACCAGGGATCGAACCCAGGCCCCTTGTAGTGGAAGCTCGGAGTCCTAACCGCTGGACCACCAGGGAAGTCCCAGTCCTTTAATTTCTTGAAGACCCATATCTCGGAACCGTTCACCCCCCCCGCCCACTTTATTTGCCAAACCCACAATCTCATGATTTCCTTGATTTATTTATTTTTGGCTGTGTTGGGTCTTTGCTGCTGTGCGTGGGGTTTCTCTAGCTGCGGTGCGTGGGCTTCTCATTGCAGCAGCTTCTTGTTGTGGAGCATGGGCTCTAGGCGTATGGGCTTCAGTAGTTGTGCCATGTGGGCTCAGTAGTTGTGGCTCACGGGCTCTAGAGTGCAGGCTCAGTAGTTGTGGCACGTGGGCTTAGTTGCTCCGCGGCATGTGGGATCTTCCCGGATCAGGGCTCAAACCCGTGTCCCCTTCACTGGCAGGCGGATTCTTAACCACTGCACCACCAGGGAAGCCCCCCATGATTTCCTTGATTGAGTGTGTCATAAATCCTGTGAAGTCATGCACAGCATCTGGACAGTTTTCTCCAGCAGGAATGTATTGTTGTGGGCTTGATGGCTCTCACGGCTTTTTTTTTTTTTTTTTTTAATAACAACGATCACATCCTCAGTGGTAAGATCCTCCCAGACTCTCAGACTCTCAACGACGTTCTCTGTGTCAGGGTTCTCTTCCATAGCGTTGACGATCCTTTCCACACAGTGTTCGTGTGTAATGAGCCTTAAAGGTCCTATGGGCCCCTGACCTAGAGACTGAATAGAGACATTGTGTCTGGGGGCAAGCAGACCACTTCAGCACTTCAGCGCCTTCGGTGTTGAACTCATGGGGTTCTGGGCGGGCAGGCGCGTTGCCCAGTATCAAAAGAACTGTAAAAGGCAGTCCCTTCCTGACAAGGTGCTTCCTGAATTCAGGGACAAGGTATCGATGGAACCAATCCAGAAAAAGTGTTCTGGTTGCCCAGGCCCTTTTGATGTCCAATCAAAAGACTGGCAGCTGCTGTTCATCTTCTCCCTGCAAGGCTGGGGGTCAGCAGCTTTACAGATGAGCGCAGTCCTGGCCGTAAACCCGACCACATTTGTGCAGGATAATAGAGACAGCCCATTCCTTCCTGCCTTAAATCCTGCTGCTTGCTTCTCCTTACTGATGAATGTCCTTGGTGGCATTTTTTCCCAGAATAGGGCAGTCTCATCTGTATTAAAAACGTGTTCAGGCAGATGTCCTTTCTCCCCAGTGATTTTCTTCACAGCGTCTGAGAACGTGTCTGCGCCACCTCTCCCGTTACCTTGACATTTTAAAGCCAAATCTCTTTCTAAAATCATCAAACCATCCTTTGCTGGCATTCAAGTCTCCAGCTTTACAACCTTCCCCTCCCTTTCGCTTAAGTTGTCGTATGATGACTTTGCTTTTTCTCGAATCATTCTTAGATTTTATATAGGTGCACCTTTCTTATGGCAAGCCTGCGCCCGCCTAAAAGCTGCTTTTTCAAATAAAAAGGTATTTCACACGAAGTGCAAGGTTTTCTGCCTGCTGGTGTAGCTGCAGTGCCAGCTTCATGGATTTCCTTTCCTTTTTTACATTCATCTTGAAGTGGCGGCAGCTGCAGCTGCAGACCTCACTCTGCGACGCACGTCAAGCCATTCAGCTTTTTCTCTTCACGTCCTGCCTTTTCTCTGCGTCTTGGGAGCGCTTGCAGCATAGCCAGGGCACTTCGTGGGTCCCGTGGTGGTGGTCAAGGTTCCTGGTGTTGCACTAAATACAATGAAATAATCCGCAAGAACCACAAGAGACTGCGATTTACTGGAGAGACCACCTGCTCCGGAGGGGGTGAGCGCACACGGCGTTGTAGGCGGACGCGGGGAATACGTGCGCCGGAAGCAGCAGCAGGGGTGGCTGCAGCATTATTACTGTAGGTGCTACAGTTAATTCATGCAGTGAGGACTTCATACGGCATCTTTACGTTTGCTTCCTTTCTCTGCACTTCAAATGGAGCCATGTGTTGTGTGCCTCAGGTTTGTTTTTTTAAAAAATAAATTTATTTATTTTTGGCTGCATTGGGTCTTCATTGCTGCGTGCGGGCTTTCTCTAATTGTGGCGAGCGGGGGCTACTCTTCGTTGCGGTGCATGGGCTTCTCATTGCAGTGGCTTGTTGCAGAGCACGGGCTCTAGGCACGCGGGCTTCAGTAGTTGTGGCACATGGGCTCAGTAGTTGTGGTGCATGGGCTTAGCTGCTCCGCGGCATAAGGGATCTTCCCGGACCAGGGACTGAACCCATGTCCCCTGCATTGGCAGGCGGATTCTTAACCACTGCGCCACCAGGGAAGTCCTGTGCCTCAGGTTTGATACATTTTAGCTTTATATCATAAATTCATGTATGTTTTATGGTAGTAAATGATAAAATAGACTAACATCTACATATGTTTTATGCATTCATGACACACCTTTTTAATTTTTTCAATATTTGTAGGCCACATGGTGCATCTGTGAGTTTTTTGAAGCTGTCGAAAGTCTCCAAAAACTTTTCCAATTTATTGAAAAAAATCCACGTATGAGTGGACCGTGCAGTTCGAACCTGTGTTGTTCAAGGGTCAACTGGGATTACTCAAGATGATAAATAGTTTCGGGATCCCTTTGCCATACAAACAAGACGTCTGGATTCATGCACTTTGCTCCCTTGCCCACGACTGTCAATACTGCATTTATAAATTCCTTGGATTACCCACCTCAGTGTGTTAACGTTTTTCTTTTGATTCACTTTTCATTTGCTTTCAGCCCTAGGATCCGATTCCCCCTCCTGTTTAATTGGTAGAACGTGACCACACACTCTTCTAGATGTCCGAACTCTTCCTGAAGGCGTGCTCAGGGAAGTTGCTCCCTCCCTCCCATAACTCCTCCCCGTTTTTTGTAGCGAGTGTCATTGTTTTCTGGTTTATCCTTCATGTGTTTCTTTTTGTAAAGACCAGCAGATACACGTATTCTTTATTCCCCTTCGTTCTTCCCGAAGGGCAGTGGCATTCCATACGCTCTTTGTTTTTTTCACATCTCCTGGAGATCTTCTAGAAATCGCTCCGTCTGTTCACAGGGATTTCTCGCATCCTTTGGAACCACAGTACTTCATTATGTGGACGTGCACTAATGCACTCGGTCAACCTCCTGCATGTGGGCATTGAGGTGGTTGCCCATAGTTTGCAACTTCAAATAATGCTACAAAGAATAACCTTATGCATTTGTATTTTCAAACTGTTTGAGGTATATCTTTAGGGCAAATTCCTGGAAGTGGGAATGCTAGGCCAAGGGTAAATGCGTGGTAGTTTTGCTAGGTATTGCCAAATTCCCCTCCACAAGGGTGGTACCATTTCCCATTTCCACAGGGCCCACAGAATATGTTAACCTTTTTCAATCTGCCAGTCTGATGGGTAAGCAGTAGCATCTCAGTATAGTTTTAATCTTCATTTCCCTATGAGTGGAGCTGAATGTCTTCATAGGTTTAAGGGCCATCTGTCTTTGTAAATTGTTTGTAGTTTTTGTCCATTTTCCATTGTATTTTTGGTCATCTCCCCTCACTTTATAAAAATTCTTCAATTAATAGGGGTACT